TGCTACTTCTACTACAGCTGCTACTTCTACTGCTACTACAATAACTACCGCAGCCACTAGTTTTACTACTACCACAATTCGCACTACTATTTATAACAACAACAACAACATTGTTGATCGTAATTACAATTACAATTATATATGCATAGATAACCACACCAGCACTGCCACTAATTACCCAGAAGACAATGTCCCATATAATATGAAGGATAATAATATAAATAACAACAACAACAACAACAACAATAATAATAATACTAACCATAGTAGTAATAATATTGGTAATAATAATTTTCCCTATATTGGTACTTCTAAATTTAAGACGATCACAATGACGCCTAACAGTATTGTTAGTAGTAGTAGTAGTAGTAGTAGAAGTTGTAGTAGCTGTAGTAGTAGTGGTGGTAGTAGTAGTAGTAATAGTGGTAGTAGTAGTGGTGGTAGTGGTAGTAGTGGTAGTAGTAGTGGTAGTGATAGTAGTAGTGGTAGTGGTGGTAGTAGTAGTGGTAGTAGTAGTGGTAGTGGTGGTAGTGGTGGTAGTAGTAGTGGTAGTGGTGGTAGTGGTAGTAGTAGTAGTTGTGGTAGTAGTAGTAATAGTAGTAGTAGTAGTGGTAGTGGTAGTAGTAGTAACGGTGTAAAACGTTATCGATCTTTGCCGGATCATTTCGAAAATCGTGATTCGAATCAAGTCGATTTCGGTAAAATGAATGTCGATTCAGAACTTTTCCAGAGATTTTTGCAGGTTTATAATTTCAATAAAAAGCTAGAAAAACTAATTCACCAACAGCAGTTATTAAAAAAGCATCGAAAGCAACAACAGCAGCTGCAACAACAGCAGCTGCAACAACAGCAGCTGCAACAACTTCGACAACAAAATCAACAGCAACAACAACAACTTATAGAAACGCCACCAAATGATAAAATTGTGTTCTTGAATGAACTTGTTCCTCAAGAGATTAAACGTTTAAATAAATGTATGGCGTCATCATCGCCATCATCATTATCATCATCATTATCATCATCATCACCATTGCTGGCAGTATCATCGTCGTTGTCGTCGTCATTATTGTCGTCATCATCATCAATCGCAACAGCAACAACATCAGCAAGAGTTACTACCGCACCGGCAACAATGCTAAATGATATGTTTAATTTTAGAATGTCATTTTTGCAACATCAACAAAAATACCAACATCAACAAAAACAACAGCAACATCAACAACAGCAGCAACAATATCAACAAATACAACATCAACAACAACAACTACATCAACAACAACATCAACAGCAGCAATGCAATCAACAGCCAAACTATGAGCAATATGAACTGTTTATAAATTGTTTCATTCAGTTTCAGCAGCATTTAAAAGAGCAAAAAATGATTTCTCAACAAAAACATCAACAACAGCAACATTATCAACAGCTACAACATCAACAACATTATCAACAACAACAACATCAGCAAAAAGAAAATGAAGATGCCATATTTCAAACGATCAAGCAAGAGCCAGTATCATTTAAAGAATTCCTGATGCAACGACAACAAATTCAGCAACAACAACAACAACTACATTTATCCGATAAACAAATACCGAACTCGAATAAAACCGATTCTATGCTAATAGACTTACTGAACAACTTGCACCGATCTGCTATTCAATACAAATCGTCGGTATTCGAACATCCCTTAAAAATAAAACAAGAATCATCACCGACAGTTCAACCGTTCACAACAATTGAAGACAAAACCGAAACTAATTTAGAACTTTTCTATCACGTGGTTAAGGAAAGCAAAAAAGAAAGTGAAACTAGAGAGCTTGCGGATTTTTCTCGAATGAGGTTGACGTCCTTAGATGAGAGTTTGTCGCAGCAACAGCAACACCAATCAGAGCAGCAACAACAACACCAATCAGAGCAGCAACAACTACATCAATTACAGCAGCAACATCAATTAAAACTGGATAAAAATATACAAAAGTTTCAACTGCAGCATCAGCAACAACAACAAAAACAACAATATCAACAGAATTACCATCAACAACAACAACCACAACAACATTTCTATTATCAACATCATCAGCAGCACTCGTTATCGTCGTCGTCGTCATCATTTTTAGGATCGCCATTTCCATCGCCACCATCGTCATCAAAAACTTCATCATCATCATCAGTACCAACGACACCAACATCATCATTAATACCACTACTCTCACCATCAGCATCATCATCAATACCGTCATTCTCATCATCGTCATCAGTATCATCATCATCATCGCCACCATTGCCATCACTATCACCACCACCATCGTACCAGTGCACATTCACAAACTGCTTGAAAGCCTTCAAGAAGCTCAGCCAACTGCAGACGCACACTCGGATGCACACGGGCGAACGACCTTACCCTTGCCCCTGGCCCGAGTGTGGCTGGCGGTTCGCTAGGTCCGACGAGTTGACCAGACACTATCGAAAGCATTCAGGCGATCGCCCGTACGTCTGTGGCGTCTGTGGCCGAACTTTTGCAAGAAGTGACCACTTGAAGCTGCACTCGAAGAGGCATGTCTGAGAGAGAGAGAGAGAGAGAGAGAGAGAGAGAGAGAGAGAGAGAGAGAGAGAGAGGGAGAGATGATGGTGGTGATTATATTATGATGACGATGTCTAAAGTGATGATGTATGTTATGATGATGTCATGATGATTTCATCCGTTCGTTTATTTACTAGATTTTTACTTGACTGAAACCAGTGGATACAAATAATGCTGTTGATAAACTTGTGATCATATTTAGAGAATACATTTTTTTCTAGCAGCAGCTATTGCTGTGATGAACATAATCACTGATGTTTTCTGTGACATTAACATTTCTGTCGGTGTATTTAATGTTATTTCACTCATTCTACTATTACCAACGAACGTTTGTCGAAAATTTTTTTAATGTTTTTTTGTGATAATATTGTGTGTATGTGTACGTGTGTATGTATGTATGTGTGTTTGTATGTATGTATGTGTGTATGTACGTATGTATGTATGTATGTATACAAACAATAAGTCATTGTCAATCAGAAAAGCTCAGATGGGAAAACGATTTAAATATTTTATTTATATTGAATTCTAACTTATTAACATGTTGTATTTAGTATTTAACAGTTTTTATAACTTATGTTACACACACAATAACCCGCATACATACACACATACAAACACATACATACATACAGATATAATATATTTTATTTTTCAATTCATTCTCTAGATGGTTTTGAGTTTGATTCTATCAGCGTTTTCATCGCTTACCGACCTCGAGTTTAATCGAATCGTCGGTATATGTTAGTCATCTATTAAGCCGAAATTATTAATATCGAAGTATCAATAGATGGGCGCTGATACATCGGTGATACTTATTCAACCTTGACCTTAGTATCTTATAAAGATATAGATATATCTGTTACACTGCTAGAGCTCTTCACCATCCTACAATGGTTTCTGAACGAACAATAGAGTCTGTCCTTGGAGAAGTTCATTCTGTTTCTGTAAACTCTCTTGCACAACGTTAAATAACTCGAAATTGTTCATGTACATAAATAATGAGGGATGACTTTAATTACCGACTTACGTGTGTAGAGTATTAGTTAGCGTTTGAAATGTTACAAAGTTTAATGATCGAATTACAACGAGAAACGACTCACCCATTATAGTTAATAATGTTTTTTATTGTTTGATTGCAACTAAATATATTTTAATGAAGTAAAATAACAAAACTTAAAACAGAGAATTAAAATGTGAAAAGTAACGCCAATAATAACGTGCAAAAATGTTTAAATAGTGTTCAAGAGCTTTAAGCGTGTTAAAGAGATAACTCCAACCAACTAAGATAACTCTCAACTTAACACTCCTTAACTTATGTGCTTGCCTGCCTATTATTAATATATACCAGGAGACCTTGCTCCCTAGAGCTTAACTAGTTGTCTAACTCCTTCTAACCAGTCAGTCCCTATTGCATGTAATCTCATTCTTACTGTACAAAGTATTACATGTTGTGATTAATTATACGTTATATTATCTTAAATTATGCTGTTATATACCTTTAAATTAGCTGTCTCGTCGTGAAATACTTTTATAATTTAACTATCATTATAATTGCTTACTTTAATAACCTACATATGAAACCTATATTTACCTGCACATCTTAGCCAAAATTATCATCTACATACTATATCATTTAGTAATGGAAATTTTGATGTCTTTTGCAAAATGTGTTAAATGTACGGAGAATTATCACTATTCAATATGATTCGATATTTTTATCGCGATACGGCGCTAATGTAGAGAGTTGAGCGGGCAGTATTCAGTATCCTAGATATGAAATTGTATCATTTGGAGATAGAAATTTTGACGTTTTTGATATATTAGGGTCTTGAACTGACCGATTAGTTATCATTATGTATTACTGTACAAATACTATAGTTCGATTTTTGTTGTTTTTTGGAGTGATAGAAAACAAGTGAGGAGGTTGAAAGAGAGAAAAAGAGATAGAAACAAGAAGAGAGTGAGTAAGAGAGAGAGAGAGAGAGAGAGAGAGAGAGAGAGAGAAAGAAAGAGAAAGAGAGAAGGTAAAACACAGAAAGATATTGAGAAAGTAGAGAGTGTATAATTGAAATTTTTAAGAAATATTGTATAGATGAGCCCATGACTTCAAATGTGACGATCAGCTGGAGAGAAAATATTTTGCTTTGTGTGGTTGAAACTGCATTTACACACTCAATCATTCTTCAATTCATTTCTGTCTTTATTCATTCATTCATTCATTCGTTCATTCATCCATTCATTCGTTTGTTCTATCTCTCTATCATTCATTATAATGGTTTAAAGAATGAATGGCTTGCTTGAGAGAATGAATGAATAAGTGAATGAATAAAAAAATGAATGAATGAAAACTTAATGAATGAATAAAAAAACGAATGAATGAATGGGCATCAAATTGAATGAATGAAACGTTGAATGAATGAAAGAAGGCTTAGTTGTATGATTAACTAAACAAACAGAGAAATAATTTGCAAATAAATGAAAATTTGAAGTGCAAATAAATAATAACAGTAATAATAAAAAAAACAATACACACACACGCACGCACACACACACACGCACACACACACACACCACACGCACACATCACACACACACGCACGCACGCACACACGCACACATACATACATACATACACACGTAGACGAACAAAAATTTCGAAGCAATTTTAAACTCCATGAGCAATGAATAAAAGTAGCTATTATATCTCATTATAATGTGATTATTTAAACAGACCTAATCCACAAATGCATACATACATACATACAAACCTACATACATACATCCATACATACATACATAAAAATATAATAATAATACATACATACATACATACATACATACATACATACATACATACATACACACACATACATACACACACACACACACATACATACACACACACATATTTCATTATTACAAGTTCAACCAAGCGTTATATTTTAGTACATAGCTATAATTAATAATAATAACTATTGTTATTATTAGTCTGATCCTATTAAAAACATCTTTGTAAGTAAGTAAATAAGTTGTTTTAACAACAGCAATAATAATAACTAATATTATTAATAACAACAATAATAATAAATAATAATAATTATAATTATTATTATTATTTTATTATAGTTATTATTTTATTGGCATGCAATGAAGGATGTAAAATCGTTGACAAATTTTATTCGCTATAGCAAATGTACAAGCAGCAGTAGTAGTAGAGTTTAAATAATAATAATTATAATTATTATAACAATTATAATAATAATAATAATAAAAAAAAAAGAAAAAGAAGAATAATAATTTAAAAAATTTCTCAAGCGTAGAAGTCTTACGAAGTCACAAACACAAATTTTTCTGGTTAGTGCTATCATAATTTTTTGACGGCTGCCTTTTATTATAATTATAATTTATATTATTATAATAATTTTGTTGTTGTTGTTGGTATTGTTGTTGATTTTGTTGATGTTGTTGTTGATGTTGTAGTTGTTGTCTTTTTTGGTTGTTGCTACTACTACAAATTTTGGTGAACTTTTCTTAAGTTAGTAGAGATTATTTGGTAGTTGATTGATAAAGTTTTCGTTGAAATAAAATTTTAAGAAGCAACCACAACAACGACGATGATAACAACAACACTACTACAACAACAACACTACAACAACACTACAACAACAACAACCACAACAACAATAACAAGCACAACAACGACAACAACAACCACAACAACAACCAATAACAACAACCTCGTCAAAATGAACATCAAAAGTAATTTAAGCAGCTTAAGCAGTATTAATAGCATTAGTAGCAGCAGCAGCAGCAACAACAACAACAACAATAATAATAATACTAACAACAACGACAACGATAATGATGATAACATAGTATCATTTCCATTGCTAATTTACGACATAAAAACTACGGTGAGTTAGAACTTGTCATCGTCGTCATCATCATCATCACCATCATCACCATCATCATCATCATCATCATCATCATCATCATCATCATCATCATTATAATCATCATTATCATCATCAATATCGTCATCGTCATCACCACCATCATCGTCATCATCATCATCATCATTATAATCATCATCATCATCCTCGTCGTCGTCATCATCATCATCATTATCATCATCAATATCGTCATCGTCATCATCATCATAATCAGATTATTTGTCGGGCGAGCGCTGACGATAGCCTATGGACATTGAAAAGGAACATCCTACTGACCAATGAAACCGCGGTTAGTTATGATAATGATGATGGCTACGATGACGATCAATCATCATCATCGTCATCATCATCGTCATTATCCAATCATCATCGTCCTCATCATCATCGTCATCATCCAATCATCATCGTCCTCATCATCACCATCCAACCATCATCATCGTCACCATCCAACCATCATCATCGTCACCATCCAACCATCATCATCGTCACCATCCAACCATCATCATCGTCACCATCCAACCATCATCATCGTCACCATCCAACCATCATCATCGTCACCATCCAATCATCATCATCGTCATCATCCAATCATCATCGCCATCCAATCATTATCATCGTCATCATCAGAACTTCAAAGATGGCCTCAACTACGGATTCTACACACCGGCTTCCGACGGCCGGATTGGGAAATTCCTGGATGAAGTTAGGGCAATTAGGGAATATTCCGACAAGGATTTGCACAAAATACAGGTACGTCTGTTTGTATGTGTGTGTATATATGTGTGTGTGTTTGTTTGTTTGTGTGTGTGTTTGTCTGTATGTGTTGTAAGTATGTGTGTGTGTGTTTATGTGTTATAAGTATGTGTGTGTGTGTGTATGTGTGTGTGTATGTTTAAACCAAATCCTGACGAATGACACTGAACAATCAAACATCAAGTATATATGTATGTATTTATGTATGTATGTATGATATGTATGAGTATGCGTGCGTGTATGTGTGTTTGTTTGTTTGTGTGTATGTGTGTTTGTATGTGTATGTGCGTGTTGGTATGTATTTTTTCGGTTGTGTGTGCGTGTGTGAGTTTGTGCGTACTTGCGTATAAACCGCGGTCAACTTCAGTTTCGTTACAAGAAGAAGAATTACAAAGACCTACCGACCAGTTTGAAGAAATTAAAAATCATCAACGATTTGGTTACTATAATTTTAAAAATTATAATTATTATAATTATAATTATAATTAATATAATTATAATTATAATTATTACTACTATTATCATCACCATCATCTACGTCACCAACAATCTTCCTTCATTCTCTCATTCAAGAACCATCGCAAGACATTCATGGGCGCAATTAATAGCAACAGCAATAAATTAAATGACGTCATCAAGATGTTGAAGAAAGGTCATGACCCCAACTACCAGGATGCTAAGACAGGAGGTGGTGATGATGATGATAGCGATGGTGATGGCACTGACGATGATAGTAGAGATGATGATGATATATCGACGATGATGATCATAGTAATCATAACTCGCCATCATCATAATCATGACCCACCCACGCAGAAACACCGATGACGTCAGCAATTCTGAGCAAATGTAGTACGGACCTTCTGCTGCATCTTGTTAGCGAGGGGGCTCATCTGGATTACCGCAACTCTCGCGGGGACACACCTCTGCATGTGGCTGCCGTATCAGGGAATGTTGTCGCCCTTAAGGTATTTTGTTGTCGTAGTTGTAGCTGTAGTAGTAGCTGTAGTAGTAGCTGAGGTAGTAGCTGTAGTAGTAGCTGTAGTATTAGTATAGTGGTGGCATGGCAGTAGCAATAGTAAGAGTAACAATTTTAGTAACAGATGCAGTGCTGTAACCGTTAAAACTTCCAATTTTGTATATTTATAATTAAAATACCTTCCAAAAAAAGTTTAAAAGAACAAAAATATACAACTAAAATATAACTGCGACAAAATATACTCTCCCCTCCCCCCCCTCAAAGACCGTCCTTGACCTCGGAGCCTCGCCCAACTCAAGGTCATCGGATAACTTGACCCCTCTGCATCAGCTGTGTAGGGCGCGCGACGTCGAACTCGCCAACTACTGCGTGCAGATGCTACTCGAGAACTACTCAGTTGTAGATGTGGCCGATCAAGCCGGAAATACAGAACTGCATCACGTGAGTGGGGCTGGGGCCTGATGACGTAGATGGTGGTGGTGCTGATGATGACGATAACGATGGTGGTGCTGATGATGATGACAAGGATGGTGGTGATGATGGTGGTGGTGGTGGTGATGATGATGACGATGATGGTGCTGATGATGATGGTGGTGGTGATGATGATGACGATGATGGTACTGATGATAATGACGATGATGGTGCTGATGATGGTGTTGGTGATGATTATGATAACGATGGTAGTGCTGATGATGACGATAATGGGGCTGATGATGATGGTATGGTGGTGGTGGTGATGAGAATAATAATAAGGCGAATAAAAATTTGTATGAGAGTAAGTCTGAATAAGAGTTGGAGTGTATTAATAATAATAATAATAATTAATAATAATTAATAATAATATTATTATTATTATATTACTATTAATAATAACCTCATCATCGCTGGCCACACGCCACTCAGTCGTGTCGCCTGGGCAGGCTGCATATAACGAGGAAGTTGATCGTCTACGGAGCCAACATCAACCGACAGAATGAAACCGGAAATACGCCATTACACGTGGCTATTTTTAGCAACCAGGCCAGTCATCATTAATTCCATTCGTAGTAGTAGTAGTAGTAGTAGGGGTTGAGTAGTAGTAGTAGTTGTTGTTTGTAGTAGTAGTAGTGGTGGTAGAATAGTAGTAGTAGTAGTAGTAGTAGTAGTAGTAGTAGTAGTAGTAGTAGTAGTAGTAGCAGCAGCAGCAGTAGTACAAATGTCTTCTCATTTTTCCCTCCAGGAATTAATAGCGCGAAAACTGTTAGCGTACGGCGCCCAAAAAGACATCAACAACCACTCGAATTTGGACGCCTACGGAAGCGCCGTGACGATATCTAGCGATTATCTCGCCGAATATATCGCCAATTTTAAACCGTCGGATATTTGTGAGTGAATTTATATATATATATATATATATATATAATTTTTTTTTTAATTTTTCAACTTCAAACTCTGGCGTGATTGAATAGAAATACTTAATACAAATTTTTTATATATTTTTCAATGATTTTATCATGTTTCTGTTTATATGCATTGGATGTTTTCAAGACATTCGTCGAAGTTCTTAAAATCATGCATGTGTAGTGTGCATACTCACACACACGCACGCGAATACATGTTCATTCATTCATTCATTCATTCATCTATCCATTCATTCATTCGTTCGTTCATTCATTCATCTACCCATTCATCCATCCATTCATCCATTCAAGCACGTATCGAGGAAAAGCCAGTTTACACACCGACCCGAAAAGCCAACCAGGCTCGTAGACCAAGCATGCAGACGTTTCTACAGCAGCAGCAGCAGTTGGAGAAAGATAGGAAGATGCTGGTAGAGAGGCTCTCCCAAGTGATATCCGAATCAACTGGAGATGAGGATGAATTGGGAGAGGAAGAAAGATTTAAGGGAAATAATGATATCGTGGAAGAGTGCGGAAAGACTGATGATAATGTTTATGAGAATTTTAATGAGGTTGCGGAAAATATGGCTAAGAAACGTAACGAAAGCGGCGGCACTAACCACAACAACAACAATAATAAAAATAAACTTTTTGTGTGGAGTCAAAGCTTAATAGCAGCTCGATCCTACCAGGATATAAGCAAATTAACCTTGGAAGACGAAGGTTGGCTGGTGTTGTTGTGTGTTGCTGTGTGTATTTTGAGTTTCGTTTGTATTGTATTTCAATACTGGTTTTGAGCTGTAGTTTTGTAGATTTTTGTTTTTATTGTCTTCAATGAAACATTTTTTTATTTATACAAAATTAATTCAATTCAATCAATCATTAATGTTTTAAATTTTCATTGATGTCATACGTACCAACACGAGGTCATATTATAAATTATCCCATTTTCATACAGACAGGCAAACAAACAAATTAACGTAATGAACATAAAATATTTTAAAAGATTCCTTCAGTGACTCGGACTACGAACCAAACAGCCTACCAATGTCCGCCACATACAAACAACAGCAACACCACCAAGCCAGCAAAATTAACCAGTCGGACTCACCCCAATCTCTCCCGCCCATCCCTACTTCTCAAGAGAGTTCGGTCAATTCCAGACGTAAGTTTGCTAACAGAACCGAAAGTGTCGGCACGGATCAATCGGTAGAGCCGGATTTACAATTCTTGATGATAAAGCAGGCAAGTGCAAAATCAACATCAGTGCGAAATTCGCCCGTGCTGAATAAAAAATTTAAGGAGAATAAAAATGTTGCAGATGAAAAAACCGCATCTATCCGATCGTATCCGAAACGTTTGACCGATAATTTTCCTGGCAACAATTCAGATTTCAAAACGTACTCACAAACCGTTTCCGAATCTAACCGATCAAAGAGGCCAGCACTTTCACTCGGTTTGTTTCTGCCTCCTAAAAAATCGGAAACAAAAGTTACATCCCTGGAAGCTGAACAAAGTTCTGCACGTAACCACCGTCCACTTCCGCCTTTACCATGTGACCCGAAAACAGGAAATGCAAACGATGACGTCATAGCCAAAGATTTAAATACGACAACAAAGGCTAACGAAGAGACGGAGAAAGATTCCTGGGTGGAAAGTAGTTCGTATGTGTTTTTGGAAGGTGTGGATGGCAAACTGACGAACAACAACAGTGTCCAGTTGGATCGGAATGTTGTTGGCGGAGGTGTGTACGAAGTTTTGCCAGTCCCCATCATCAAACTGGACGATGAGGTTCTCTACAGTGTTGAAAATAAAAATAGCAACAACAACAACAACGACAACAACAGCGTCAGCGTTGATGATGGGAGTGCTTCTAATGATCACGTCTATGCTAATTTGGATGATTTCAATGGTGCTTCAACGCAGCAGCAGCAACAACAACAACAGCTGCAACGACAACCGAAACCTCCAGCCATTCAGCCGCCAAAACCGGCCAGCAGACCCCTTTCGACATTTTTTGATTCCTCAACTTTGCGAACAATAAACTCGAGTGACACTTCGGCCCGGAATAATTTAGCACTGAAAAAATTCAACGACCAATACGGTCCCATGAGGGGGAGATGCTCGAGCATGGGAAAGGTCAATAACCTGGAGACCACCAGACAGAGTTCGCAAACTGAACCACAACAACTCAAGCAACAACAAAAACTGCAAAATCTAATTAAAATTCAAACCAACCAACAAAGCGTCAGCTACATCCATCAGCAGCAGCAGCAGCAGCCCATCAGACAACAATTCAACAGCCAGCTATCCCTCCCGTCCTCTATGGGTAAATCACTCAGCTGTCTCGACATCTCACAAGGCAAAACGCCACCACCACAACCACCACCGCGATCAAACCAAACAAGAACAACAAAAAACTACGACCAACAACAACAGCAACAGGAATTTTTCCCTCCACCCCCTACATGGGCCTTGACAATGACGTCACCCGCAACTGCACCAATCAGCAGCAGTTGCAACGACACGACTGACTCGAACATTCTCCGGAACAAAAATCTCTCACCGAAAGTCGGTGGCGTAGAAATGTCACGTGATGTCAATCAGAGATGTTCGGTGGGGGTGGAATTTTCCCCGGCGTTGTTGAATGAAAGAATGAAACATTTGAGGGTGTCCGGAAGATTGGATGAGTTATTACAAAAAGATTTGAATAACGACAATGACGTCACCATCAATACTGACAACAGAAACGTCAGATCTTTGAATGAACATCATAGCGAACCGGAAATTAATCCCATCAACAGCAACAACAACATAGAATTTACCCCGGGTAAGACAGTACCGATTCCGAAAGATGACCAAGTTATCGTTTCGGTTCCGGTAAAACCGACTGACGTTATTGTTGACGAAAAAACCGGTGACGTGTTCGTAAAAATCGACCGATCAGCTGCACGTGATTGGTTCGTGTGACGCCCTTATGAATATTAATAATTGCTATTTTTAAACGTGCTTTTTGAAACGTTGCATTGCAAAAGTAATTCGCAATATTAACGATATTTCATATTATAGGCTAATAATTTAACGCTATATTGTTTATTTCATATTTTATGATCATATCAATTACATTAATAATAATAATAATAATTATAGTTTAAAGAATTTTAACAAATTGTTAAAGCTCTTTTTTTACAACGCCATTGATTTAACACGCTAACATGTGGTGCTTCTGTCGCATTATCAATAGAACTATTTGACACTTGGAAGCAACTTGCTTCTTGAAAATCACAATAATAATAATAATAATAATAATAATAATAATAATAATAATAATAATAATAATAATAATAATGATGATGATTATTACAATATCATCATCGTCATTTTCATCGTCGTCATCGTCATGATCATCAGCTACGACCTATGACGTCATCGTCATCACTTTTCGTCCTTTTCATCATCGTCATCGTCATCATCATCATCATCGTTGTCGACCTGGAAGATATCATTAGCGAGGCCGCATTCTACGACGAGTTTGTCTGACGATACAATCGATAGAGGCTTTCTCTGGAATTTAAAGTTAAATAAAAAATTTAATCCAAAATTAATTAGAAAATAAAAAATTAATAAATTTATTTATTAATTAATAACCCTTTAAAAAAATTTATGAATAAATTCATGACTTTTTAACGGATTTTAATTCGTAAAATATCATCTTAGATTTAAAAACTCGTTCAAAATCTAAACTTAAAACTTGAAAAAACATTTTAAATAACAATGATGACGATGATGATGAAGAAGATGCAATGATAATGATGATGATCGATGTAATGATGATGATGATTTGAATATGAAAAGGAACCTTATAAAAATAAACAAAGTCATGCAATGATCTGAATGTTGGTTGGTTGGAGCCAAAAAACTGATAACCGTCATTGGTCACTTCGATTAGGTAGTGGCGAACTTGTTTCATGGTCAGAGATTTATCTGAGACCTGATTGGTTGTCGTGATTTGGATGGTTGATTGTGATTGGCTACCTGTGTGGCACTATTATTCGTGTGGTTTATGAATGGTAGATTGTGACCAATTTCTTGTAAATTATCTGAAACTTAATTTTGATTGGTTGCTTGTGATTAATCGGCTACATGATTGGTCAACTGTTTTTGATTCGTTGAGATCAGTTGATTGGCTATAATTGGTAGGTTAGTTGTGATTGGCCTTGTCTTGTGTTTGCTAAGATCGATTGAAAAAACAAACAAATAAATGAATGAATGAATGAATGAATAAATGAATGAATGAATGTACAAATAAATTAGTTAAATAAAATTACCTTCAATGAGAGTGCGTAACCAAAGATTTGATTACTCAGTCGAATCAAAAATGTACCCTCGGGTTTCTTGGACAGCAATTTTTCCGCGCCATTTCTCGATAACATACCTGATGTAAAATTAAAGTTGATTGGTTGGTGTAAATGGATAATTAAAGTTGATTGGTTGGTGTAAATGTATAATTAAAGTTGATTGGTTGGTTGGTATAAATGTATAATTAATTATTTATACAGAGCGTAACTGATTTTATTTAAATAAAATAAATTAAATCTACCGTAATAATAAGCAGCTTTGGTTTTGGACTCGGGATCGAACCCGCTACCCTTCGGTCTCTCAACGCTGTCATACCATTCCATCACTTCTTTCTCCGAAGAAGGCCTCTTCACTGATTGGCTGGTGGCTCTACTGCTGGATAAACGTGATTGGCTGATGTCATTTGTAACTATACATATATATACATATATATATATATATATATATATATATATATATATATATATATATATATATATATATATATGGGCATATTTATGTAATGAAAGAATGAATGGATATTAAAATGAATGAATGAAGAAAAACAAAACAAACAAACGAAAGAACAGGTGAAAGAAAGAACGAATGAACGAACGAACGAACTAACAACGGATTAAAAGGGTCGTCATTAAAGAGCGTCAGTATCTGACTCTCAGTCTTCAGCCTCCGCATCAGCCTGGCGTTATCCTCCCTAACTTTCATCGCTATCTTCCTCCTCTCCTCTTCAGCCTCTCTCGCCTTCTTCTCTGAAAATAATTTTCACAAAAATAATTATAATAATTCTAGCGAGAACAATTACGACTGATAATGTAATTGTGGTGATATTAATTAGGATGGCAATGATGATAGCAATGGCAGTTATGGCGGCCACAATCACCATCATAATCATCACCACCATCATAATCATCACCACCATCATAATCATCACCACCATCATAATCATCACCACCATCATAATCATCACCACCATCATAATCATCACCACCATCATAATCATCACCACCATCATAATCATCACCACCATCATCATCATCATCACCACCATCATCATCACCACCACCACCATCATCATCATTATCAAAACCTTGCTCCTGCCATCTTTGGATGATTTTTCTCGCGCCCTTGGTCGCTCTCTCCAAACTCTTCTGCCTATCGAGCTGGATACTGGCGTAGATCTCACTGGTTCTCTTGTCTTTGAACTCTTTCAAATCCAGTTTCGTCTGCTGAACTTTCGTTCTCATTTGAACGTTAGTCAAATTGGCGTTGGGGGTAGGTGATGATTGTGACGATGATTGTGATGATGATTGTGATGGTGTGGCTGGTGTGGCTGATGATGATGATGGTGATGTGATAGAAAGGACATCGTCGCTGCAAGTATAGATGGAGATAGTAACAGCTGGAATGGTGGGTGTTGGAAATATTGACGTCAGCGTTCGTGATGTGGCGGCTGATTTCGGTGAAATGGGATTCTGGAGTTGCTGCGGCGATGATGGCGATGATGATCCTGACGATGGCAAAGAGGATAACGAAGGCGGTTTCGCAAGTACAGATGGTTTTACGTGTGTAGTAACTGTAGTCGCAGCAGTAGCTGCTGTAGTGGCAGCGACAGCAGCTGTAGTAGCAGCAGCTGTGGTAATTGTGGCAGTTTTTTGTTGTGGCGATTGAAGTTGTTGAGATGATGTCTTCCACACTGGCAATGGAGATGAAGATGAAGTCGTAACCGTACAGTTCTGAAACAACGACAACCTTTGTTGGAATAAATTTGAAATTTTGTTTACTCTCTCTTCCTCCTCCTCCTTATCTCTCTCTTCTTCTGCTTCTCGCTCGGCATCATTAGCATCCTTTTTAGCGGTAGCAGCAGTAGTAGTAGAGGCTGTAGCAGTATTGTTAGTAATAGTAGTATTAGTAATATTAACGTTTAAAGATGCAGAAATTTTGTCATTTCTAGTATCAGAACTATTTGCATTGTTATTATTATTATAATTAGTAGTAGTAGTAGCCGCAGTGGCCATCATAGTTGTAGTAGAAGTAGTGGTAGTAGCCGTTGTGGCGATTAGAGTTTGTTTATCTTTAGCTTGGTAATGAAATGATCTGCTACTTGCATAATAATTAGCATTGATACTTATGTTATTACTATTTGTATTTATAATACTATTATTATTATTATTAATTATACTAGTTTGTCTGCTACTGAAATTAGCAACAGCCGTAGTAGTAGTAGAAGTAGTAGCAGCAGCAGCAGTAGTAGTAGTAGTAGCAGCAGTAGAAGCAGCAGTAGTAGAAGCAGTAGAAGTATCAGTAGTAGTAGTAATAACTTTGATGCTGCTAGCTGTTGGAAAAACTCTACTTGACGGCCCTTTAGCGGAACTTTTCATCACATTTGCTGGAGACGTTGTAGTTGTTGAAGCTACGACCGTATTATTAGCTGTAGTGGTTGTTGTTGTTGATGATGATGCGGTTGTTGTTTTTGCGGCTACAACAACATTATTAGTTGTAGTAGTAGTAGTAGTAGTAGTAGATTTTGGCGTATGCGTCCTGAGAATCTTGCTGCTGCATTGTTGCTCGGAATTTATAGTAGCGGCAGTAGTAGCAGTCGTAGTAGTAAGAGCCACAGCAGTAGTGACAGTATTCAAAGTGGTAGCCACATTTTTTGTTGAATTACTGTAAATAATTTTCGGAATTTCATTGGTGGTCAGTAAACTTTTTCCATCATCTTTGCCACTTGCAACCTTCTTCCCAAAAATTTTCCCATCGCTTCGCTTCCGTTCTATCTTACATTCAGCATCTGGGGTCTCATTTTTTGACAATTCATCATCGTCGTCGTCGTCATCTTCATCGTCGTCGTCATCATCGTCGTCATCAATACTATTACTATTACTACTAGCGCCCCCATCGACGGTGAATGTGGGGGTTGTGGTTTGGAAGTTGACGTTGCCTGGAATGCATCGTGCATTGCTTGGTTCATCTGATGATGTTGAAAATCTGAAGGAGGAAGAGGAAGTGGATGATGAGGAAGATGATGATGAGGATAAAAATGATAGGGATGATGATAATAAGGAAGAGGAAGACGAAGATATTGATGAAAATGATGAAGACCCACACAACACACAAATTGTTTTGAACTCGAAAAACAAGCAAGAACCCTACAAAAAAATAGAGACCCACAAACAAATAGATGCCTCCATTCAACAACAACAACAACAACAACAAATTCCCAAACGGCAGCCATCCAGAACCACCAGACCACCAACCTCTTTATTTCCTGCTCTACCAGCATCTGAGCCTTCCTCAGATTTTCAATCTCAATCATTTCCTCAATGCTCTTATCATTTCGGTGCTCACCCATCACCCACGTCCAGGGCTTGTTCTCCTTGTCCTCTAAAAATATTACCCTCGTGCCTTTTTTGTTTGACCCTGAAAAATTTTTTAAAATTTGTTTACGGTGTGTTTTTGTTTACGACGTCATTATTATAATGTCATCGTCATCGTGGCCATCAACATTATCGTCGTCATCATCAGCAGTTGCAGCAGCAGCAGCATAAGCAGCACCAACTTGCCACACGTTTCGACTGCCTCCTCTGCTCCTCCATCTCCAGCATCTGTTCTCTCTCTTCCCATCTTCTTTTTTGCTCCTTAGTGAGGTTGAACCGTTTATTATTTATTTGGAATTTTAATTGTTCAATCACTTATTCAATCATTTGTTTATTCATTAATTCATTAATTCATTCATTTGTTAATTCGTTTTCTCAATTATTCATTCGTTTTTTTTATTGGTTCTTACGACAAACCAACAAATTTATCAACCAACCAACTAACCAGCCTATCAATCAACCAATCAAAACCACCCCCAATCTATCATTCAACCAATCAAAACTACCAATCATACAATCAACCAACCAACCTGTCTCATTTTACAGAAGAGAATTTGCTTCTGCTCCTCGTCCAATTCGGCAAGCAGAGCCGGATCAACGTACATGTCTCTTAATATTTGCTGCAACATTCCTTGCCTTATTCACCTCACTGAGTAACCACTGGTTAAATTGACAACACGATAAGAATAGTAATTTTAGTATACATATAGTAATTTTGAAATTATATTTTGCGCCTCTATCTTCTATCTATATATAGTACCCTTAGCATCCGGCTAAAAATAGCGTGTAGAAGTGATACATTACTCATCAAATAGCAATAATAACAATTATAATTATTATTGATTGATTAATTAATTAGTTAATAAAATAATTTACTGAATAATTTCAGAAGATCTTCTTCATCAACTCCACACCATATTATATGCATTGCATACATGCACAGAGGAACTGAGCGGAATAAACGTTTTAATGAATCATTCTAAATCCCATGTATTTATACTCGCTCTCCCTCACTCTTTCCATTTCTCTCCTTCATTTCTTATCTTTCACCCTCTCTCTCTCTCTCTTTCTTCGTTTCTTTCTCCCTCTCTCTCTCTCTCCCACTATATATATATATATATATATATATACATTATATACTAAACATATATGCTAGTGTATAACGAACGTACATAACTTATAGTTAAGATATATATACTTCATATTAAAGTATACAAATGTGTGTGTATGTATGTATGTACGTACGTGTATGTTGTAAGCATGTGCGTGTGTGTGCGTGTACTAGCTAGCACGATGAGTTTTCAATTACTGTTATAGTCGTTGTCATCATCGTCTTCATCATCGTCGTCATCATCATCATCCGTCATAAGTGTACCGTATTTATTAACTCATTAATAATACTAATAATAATAATATTATTATTATTATTAGCTGGTATAGCCCGCATTACTTTACTATATCCTGTTGTATAAAAAAAGATAAAGAGAGAGAGAGAGAGAGAGAGAATAGAAGCAAAAGAAAGAAATAGAGAGAGTGATATATAAAGATATGGATAGGTTTGACCTAGTCCAGTTTTTCACACGATTAAATTATTTATACCATCATGACATTATATGATGACGGTGATGAGTTCCACACTTGTTTTTTTGTTTGTTTGTATGTATGTGTGTGTGTGTGTATGCTTGTTTGTATGTGTGTGTGTATATGTATGTGTAAAAAATGTTACAAACCATGCAATATAATTTTACTTTCGTTGGAATTTGATGGTAATAATCATAATGGCAATTGCCTGCTAGCTATTTTATTATTATTATTACTATTATTATCATTATTATTATTATTACACACACAAACATACGAACACGGACACGGTTATAAAAAAACACGCGTTCATCAGCAAGCAGGCTAGTACATGCTAATTTATTCATACAACACTTACACAAACACACACACATACATACATGCATACACACAAATACATAAATATATACATACATGCATGCATACGCACATACATAAATATATACATACATACATACATACATGCATGCATACATACATACATACATACATACATACATACATACATTCATACATACATACATACATAGATACATACATACATACAAATGATTCTTATAAGCCATATCCGTGTCTAACGAGTAAACAGTCATCATCATTAACTTCATCCTCCTCCTCATCATCATCACCCCAATCTCTATCATCATCATCAACTTTTGTTTCTAATTATGCCTTCAAAACTTTAGAAATGAGTGATGATGATAATAAAACCAACAACAAAAACAAAGATAAAATAATTTTTAGCCATTTTTTTTGTTATTCCTAAAAACCGCCATGCTGATTATTATAAATAAATACATAAACATAATTAACAGATGAAATAGAGCTCGATTCCTCTTCTGTTACTCAAGATAGTCTACACAGCTCAACAACAACTCGATGTTGGTAACAGCTAAAAATTCCAAAAGACGCCAAAAAATCTCTCTTTGTAATTTGTACAAACATAAAGCCTGGTTGTAAGGCATAAAATAGACGAAGTCGTCCTCAAATAAATCCTGAGAAGAAATGTTACACCAATCAATGATACTAATATGATAAAACTCAGGATATACTACAACAATTGTAAGACATCACAATTGGTCTTAAAGAACAACAGCACCCCTAAAAACGATCCTATCTTGAAGCGTAATCGTGTTATATATGAATTGGAATGCCTTTGACGACTGTGCAAATCAACAATATTCGTATATTGGCGTTACGACAACTTCACTATCAGGGCGTCCCACAATGCATACACCAAGAGAAGCCATCAAATCTCACTTGCAATCAACACATGCAACAACTCCAATCACCCGCCAAATTCTTGACAACGACGCAAAAATAATTTATCAAAACACCAACACAATACATCTGAAAATTTCAGAAGCTGTCCTCCTAACAGATGTTGTATTTCATATTGCTATATAAAATATGAATTCTACCGAATTGTTGGCATTAATCAATCTAAAGTTTATCTTTTCAGTTTTCCTTAATAAAATTTGCTAGGAATTGTTCAATTTATTGAAATTATAAATAATCAAATATATATATATATATACATAAATATATATGTACATAAAAAAGGAAGTAGAGAGAAAGAGAGAGAGATAGAGAAAGAGAGAGAGAAAGATTTTATCTATTTTCAGCAAGAATTAACTTTTCATTCGAAAAAACGTCACTAAATTTATCGTAAGTAATAAAATCATCAATAACGTTTTAGTAATCACTACTACAATCATCATCATATGCTTAATATAATATGTATGTATATTTATGTATATATATATATATATATATATATATATATATAATGTATAAGTTAGTATATAGAGTAAATAGAATATATAAAAAAAATATATGAGTTATAAAATGCCAACAATAATTTATAACCTATCCTACTAATAATCAATAAATTAATCATCCAATCATTCAATTAACTAATAAACTAATTAATTAACTAATTAATCTTCGGCTGGATTCATCGTTATCGATACAGCATCGGAACAACCTTCTCCATTTAATTGCTCTCGTTTCTTTGTATGACAGCCTCATCAAGAACTATGGGGAAGGTAATTATAATAATTTATTAAAATTTATTATAATTAGTTGCCTGGGCGTTGCCTGTTAACTAATCATTCGGTTTATGACGATATTTAATGGATTAAATCATCGTAATTCCTTCATTTGTTAGCTTATGTCTGGATTGTAAGCAGTTAACCTCACTTTCTATTCTTCTGAAATAACACACATACAGTTACGAATAGTCTATTTTTTGATAAACTCAGTTGTATACACACACACGCATACACACACACACACACACACACACACAAAACAGCAATATCCACACGTAAATCAGTATGCCGTGTAATATACATACATATTTACACAAGTGGCTAGCTTGCGTTCGAATCAGGTTACCGTGAAACAGCAGAAACACCAGGCACCTCTATCTTGCTTGGTTTTATAAATAGGTACATTATAACTTTATACAAAGGCATTTGTATTATTTTTATTTTATGTTTTTTGTTAGAAAAGACGAAAAATTCGAAAATAAGTTTGAGAAATTTTTTATTTTTACAAAATTTAAGAACAGGAAACAGAATTGCAGCAGCATCTGATGAATTTCTTCCAAATTTTGAATTTTCACCGAAAAAATATTTACAATTTCAAGAAAAATTACAAAATTTTCATAGCAAAACTGAATAAGACGAACTAGAAATGAACGAAACTTCAATGGAATGTACGCATCGAATCAACCCACATTTTTATGTACATATAAACCATAAAATTTTATGAAAAATATGGCGAAGTTTAAGTATCCGAGAGAAATTACAAAAAAAATTTTGTTTTTTTGTCTAATTAATTTAATTTAATTTGAAAAACAATTTAATTTGTACGTTTTCCTCCCAACCAAATTTCATTCTAAGCTATTCTTTATTGAGGTAAGAGTCAGTCTGGGCCATACAAACTTTTTATTTGGAAAGAAAGGAAGAGACAGAAAGAGAGGGAGAGAGAGAAAGAGAGAGATGAGAGAGATCGAAAAAAGATCTTCAAAGAATTTTCATTATATCTTGATGCCCCGTTATTAAATGTATTTAATGTTTCAAAACATGGAACATGCACCATTGCACATGCACATGCCAAGCAAAATTTCTTTCATATTTCTCTCTATAAATGATAACAGCAACAGCAGCAACAACAACAACATTAACAACATCAAAAACAACAACAACAACAGCAACAACAATAACAATAAGATAATATAGACAATAGATAATGAAAGATACCAAAAGCATACACCTTGTACAATTTGTCTAGAGACAATTATTGATAATAAACAAGCCATAGCATGCTTATTTGTGATTTCGAGAAGTTATTTAAAATTTAATTAACAAATCGATAAAAATAAAAAATAAATCATTTCAACTAATAACGATTAAAACGCGTAAACTTCGACTTCTGAAGCAACCAGTGGGGTTTCTATTTTACCCTATTTTATGTAGTATAAGTATGTTTGTATATGTTTGTATGTATAATTATGTGTGTGTATGCATGTATGTAATCATGTATGTATGTATATGTATGTATGTACGTACATATGTATGTACGTATGTGTATATACATATATATGAATATAAATATATTTAGGCGTATATATCTAACAAAAAATGTGTGTGTGTGTGTGTGCGAGTGTGTGTGCGCGTAATAAGAATATATATATATATATATATATATATATATATATATATATATATATATATATATATATATATATAGTGATTTTTTTTAAATGAAAAAAAACGAACGTTAAAGTAACCCACACATGGAAGTACATTATACATATAAACAAACCAGCAACAACACAAGCAAGCAACCCATGATATTAACAAATAAATAACCAAACAAACAAACAAACGAACGAACGAACAAACAAACAAACAAACAAACATACAAATTTAACACATACTTATAACTTATGACACAAATTCAGATAGAAATATGATTCAAGTACATATATAGCATATAAATAAAGACATACATACACACACCCACACACACAAACACATACTCACACACACACACACACGCACATATATATATATATATATATATATATATATATACATATATATATATACCAAGTAACCTTACATACACATGAACGACTTTTAATGAATACTAGAAATGTCAACACATACAATACAGTACAATACATACGCCATGCATATAGATAACGTATTGAACTTGCAATCTGAAGGACTTAAACTTTCTGATAAGGCATCGAAAAAAATTTGCAACTTTAAATAGAGAAAAAGATGAACGAAAGAATGAACGAGTGAATGAATGAATAAATGAATGAACGAATGAATGAATGAACGAATGAAACAAATTAAATAGAAAAACAGATCAGAACTCAAGTAGCGACCTTACCATGTATAGACTGATTGAAGAAGAAGAGGTAGACAAATGTAAAGAAGAGAATTACAAAGAGAGTACCGAGCCACTGCCCCAGACTGACCCTGAATCTGTAAGGACTCAAACTGCAGCAAGAATATCGGGGTAAAGTCTTCCAACTCGCCACAGCGACCCCATTAACGCTATTAGGATTACTAACTGGACCCGACGTCGGTGATTTGCACAGTAGCAACCGTAAATTAGGCAGAAATACTAGCCAGCGGTTCGATTTCAACCAGGCCAGCTGCCATTTCTCTCGACAGCTTAGCGCCTCAACGAATTCCGCCTCAAGTTTTCCGGATTTAGCCAGAGGCGAATCATCACGTGTGTTGTTAGTGACGTCAATGGCGAAATACACATACACACTAACCAGCAGTGCGATGACGTCAGAAATGATTAACATGTAGAAGACGTAGTCCCAGCCATAGGAAGAGAGTAGGCCAGTTATAAGTGGGCCCAAGGCCGCCCCTATGGACCCCGTACCGTCGATGATGGCTGTAACGGTTGAGAGGGCCTTGGAGTCCCCCTTGAGGCTTGGGTGGGTGCCAAGATCGGCTGACACTGCCGTGGTGATGAGGCTGTAGGGGCCGTTCACGAAGAATCCACAGACCATGAGGAGGACTGATTGATAGATGGATGAATTTATAGATGGATGAATGAAGGAAGGAATGGATGGATGGACGAATGATGAAAAGATTAATAGATGGAGTGGATGAATGGATGAACAAATTAAAAATGACAGAATGGACAAATGTTAAAATGAATGAATTTGAAAAATAGATAAGATTAAAAACTACAAAACGAAAGATACTAACAGACACTCAGTCCAAAAGATACGCCCCCAAAGATGTAATAAATAAACATCTGTCAGATACAAATGTGATTGGTCAGTTGGTTGGTTGATTGATTAATTTTTCGATTAATCAATCAATCAATCAATCAACCAATCAGTCAACCAATTAGAAAAAAGTAAAAAACCAACAGATGGGGCCGCAATGAGCAACATCACCATGCAAGTCAGAGCTCGACCACCATGATAATCAGACACAATGCCTGCTACCACACCACCTGGAAAAAAAATTATTATAACCATAATAAAATAATTATTATGATTATTATAACCATAATAAAATAATTATTATGATTATAAATAATTATTTGAAGCGACTATATAATCATAATATAATATCAATTACCTAATATACCTCCGACATCAAATAGGGCTGACATGTCAGCAGCTTGAGTTGGGTCGTAGTTTCCAGTTTCTGTGCGTGTGTGTATGTGTGCGTGTGTGTTTATGTGCGTGTATATGTGTGTGTGTATGTGAACTAACTTGAAATATAATACGGCAGCCAGAAGAGGAATGTGTAACTAACAAGCTTTGCAAAGAACAAACATAATGAGAACTCTATGACACCCTAGGTTAAAAAATTTGAAAAAAAATTTTTTTTTTTATAAAGTTGTAATTTATTTATATAAAGTTTATAAAAATGACGAATGCACAAACACACACACACACACAGACACACACAAGCACACACATAACAGACACACACAGACACGCACATACACAGAGGCAGACTAACAGGAATTAAAATAGCTTTAAAAAATCCTATTGGCTCGCCATCACCCTCTGAAACCCCGCCCTCTTGTTCAAGACTGGCCTGTGACTGGTTGATATTTATGGCATCATTTGTTGTGTCTATTTCGTCATCGTTTATCAGCCTAACTCGTTCATCTTGGTACTAGAAAAGATTTTAAATAAAGTTTAGTTAAATCAAAATTTTTCATCAAGCAAAAATTGATATTAAAATAAATTTAAATGAAATTATGGATTAGTGATAAAAATAGGGATGTGCCTGCTTACTCTATTATTATCACCATTATCAGCTTCCTGATGATCGGGGTCAATGAGGGCAGAGTAATTCGTGTTCGGTTGTAAGTCGTGGGGATCTTTTGGAAAAATATTAAAAATGATATCATCATCATCAGCATCATTATCAAAACTATTACCACCACCACCATCATCATCATCATCATCATCACAACTATTACCAACACTGTCGTCATCATCATAACTCATCATCATCGTCACAACTCACGAGGGATTAACAGAAGGAAGACGACGCATCCCATGCCGAGAATTATCAATCCAGGAATGATGAACGACCATGCCCAATCGACGTTCACCATCACGCCGGCTATCACGGACCCCAGGATGTTCCCCACCGAAGTGTGCGAATTCCAAATTCCCATTATGAAACCCCGCCTAAAATTAGGGAAAAAATCAAAAAAACATTAAGTTATGTGGTCCCAAATCTGTTTGTGTGTGTGTGTGTGTGCGTGGGTGCGTGTGTGGCATGTGAGTTTTTTGTGTTAGTGTGTGACAACACATATGATATGAATGATATAAACAATGAATAATGATGATAACATTTAATGATGATGATGATGTCTTATGACAAATGCTCACGTGACGAAACAACAGTTGTAGTAGCATTAGTAGTAACATCAGGATGAGTTAATCACCACGAGACAAAAAGATGATACAAAGTTGAGTTAGTAAAATATTGTTTAAAAAAGTTTTGAAATTGAAAAACACATCAACAAATACATCAAACACAACAACATCAACAAATACATCAACAAATACATCAACCACAATAACAACAACAAATACATCAACCATAACGACAATATAATCAACTAACTTTCCCTTTCCAAACCAGTTTGCAACACAAGCAACAACAGGTGGCCAACCAGACGACTGAACAATACCCAAAAACACCTGTCAATCAACAAACATTAGGGAATTAGGAAATAGGGATGTGCTGTGATATGTTTGATAAATATAAAAACAATGAAAAAATTGATGTTTAATGAACATAAAACAATGAAAAAATTCACTTTGAAATACAAACAAAACAAACAATAAAAATACCATAAAACAAACCACCAAAATACACAAAAACACACGCAAACTAACCTGTACAACGGCGAAATACCAAAAATTATGTATTGCCCAGATTCTACCGAACCCAAATAGGGACGTGCTGATACCACTGAGTAGCATACCAAAAAATAGAAAGTATCTCAAGTTCATCCTTTCTGCTATGTGGCCGCTGTCGTTGCAATAAAATTAAAATAATATTAATAATTATAATAATAATAATTATAATTTTACCTTATAAACATGAAAAAGGCATATGTAAACAAGTAGCATGAATCCAGTGCTCCTAGCATTTCTTTGCCATCAGAGCCATCTATGAGGAAAAAATAGTGAGATTAATTGGTTAATTGGTTGGTTGGTTAACAGTTAACTGATCCATTGGTTGGTTTATTAATTGACTGGTTTTTGTTGGTTGGTTGGTTTAATTGAATAAATAAATGAATAAATGATCATTTGATTGAATTAAAGAATTAAAAAATGAATAATTGATTCAGATTGATTGATCATTGACTGAATGCATAAAATGGGAAAATGATCAAACAACTGAGAATGAACAATGACTGACAGACTGATTTGTAATTACTAACTAAAAGGTTCCCATCCGCCAGTACAATTTTGGGAGGTTATATTTACATCACTACATGGGCTTAACTGATTCTGCAAACAAAAATTATATTATTTATTATTATAATATTAGAAGAATTATTTTAAAAAAATAATTATAGAATATTAGTTATTACAAAAAATAATATTTTTTGAAAAAATTAAAAAAAAACCTCTGCAACCCACCTTAACAACACTTAACGGTTTTCGAGATAGGTGGTAGGTAACATAGATAACAAATGTTAAAAACAGTACAAAATATTTGTACCTGAAATGGAAAAATATTTTATTTTTCACTAACTTGTGGTCCCAATTCAAAAAATATTAAATAATTGAGTAATTGTTGGTGATACATATTATATCAATAACTATTATCATTGATTTATGTGTTTAAATAACGGCCAGTAAAAAATAAAATTAGGAAGAACACTAAGAGTAGACTAACACATTCCGGAATGAGGATTGTTTCAGGGCAGGAACGTTCCGATAAATTAATTCAACGAAATAAGGCCCAGATGATCGGTTGTCCATTTTAAAAATAATTTGTTATTTATTTAAACTCTTTTTAATTGTTAATTTAAATTAAAAAATTCGGAAAAAATAAAAATCTCTTTTTTTACTGACTGGCCTTTCGAGCCCTCGTCGCCATTTTTGTTTGTTGTTAATAGTAAACAGGACCCGTGATATTGACAAAGCTTTTTTTTATAAATTAATTTTATTTACCTAAAACAATTACTAAATTTATTATATATTTTTAATAAATATTAAATTAAATTAGTTTAATATAATTTTAATTATTTAACAAATTAATTTTAAATTTTATGTCGACTTATTATCATAAACTAGCTCATCACTTTTTAAAAAACTTCAACTCGAATCCACTTTGCATTCACACACGGATTTAGATTTCGATTTTTAGAAGGTTTTTCATTTATTAGGAAATAAAAAAATAATAAAATAAATTATTTTTTTATTTTTGGGGTCCGAACCAAAGGTTTAATGATTTTATAAATGTTTCCAAATTTGTATTTTTTTTAAATTTCGTTTTCGCATGCACCTGCAACAATTTCATTTCAATTTGCAATCAAAAATTTTGTTTTAACTGAATTACAATTATTCAATTAAAATTTAAAATGGAGAGATTTAAATTTATTTATTTTAAATTTAGAAGAAAATACATTCTTACAAACTTATTTGCTCGTTAAGTGCTTAAGTTAGTGTTAGTTATGTTAGTGGGGGAAAGTTTTTTTGGTTACCTTTTTATTGTATTTCATCTTTGTTTGCTCTTTAATTTAAATTAATTTTTTTATTGTGGGAATTATTTTCAATAATTAGGAGATTCATATTTTTTTAAATTAATTTGCTAGGTATTGATGCATGTATGTTTTGTATGTTTTATATATGATTGTCTGTAAAGGTTTTGTATATTTATATATGTTTGTATGTATTTGTGTTTGTATGGATGTATGTATGTTTATTATGTTTATATATATATACATATGAGTGTGTGTATGTGTGTGTGTGTGTGTGTGTTTGTGTGTGTATGAAATGAATGTTTTTTTGATGTAGGTATGTTTGTATATAATATGTGTGTGTATATGTATGTATGTATGTATGTATGTATGTATGTATGTAAGTATGTATGTATGTGTGTAAGTATGTATGTATGTGTGTAAGTAATTATCTACAAATATATATAGCCATATACATATAGCATATCCCAACAGAAATACATACTTGCATACAACATGCCACATAAATAACTGAATGCAGATTAATCAATATTATCTTTATTTTATTATTTTTTGTGGCCTATATATACATATAATATATATATAATCATTCATTCATTTCTTCATTCATTTATTCATTTGATCTATCATTCGCAGTGACTGCGTTATTTTCAGTCATTCATGAAAGATATTATGCCCAATTCAGACTTTCTCCTTAAGATATTATTATTATTATAATTATTATTATTTTTATTTTATTATTATTATTATTATTATTATTGATCAAAGTTTATTAATTAAGTAGTGTGTAAATAGTATTATAGCATCGATATTAGCATTTGTTTATTGTACATTAGCATGCATACTTATGCATCAGTAGTATTGTTACCAGCACAATGAAGAGATGCTCTTCAGTAATAGTAGTAGTAGTAGTAGCAGTGGCCGTCGTAGTTGTTGTAGCGGCTGTAGTAGCAGCAGCAGTAGTTAGTAGTAGTTGTTGCTGCAATGATAGTAATGGTAACGCTGATAGTAGTTGTAGTTGTAATGAAAGCAGTAGCGCCAGAGTGTGGGGGTAGTAAGTCAAAGGTAGAGAAAGAAATAATGGATAGAGAGAGAGTAAGAGAGAGAGAGAGAGAGAGAGAGAGAGAGAGAGAAAAAGAAAGAAAGAATTATTAAGTTTGAAGATATGCAACTATGAACTTTCTGTACCTTACAACTTATCTATGTACTACCTACATACCTTCCATATAATGATATATCTCTCCATCTATCAATCCATTTTTTTTTCCAATTTTCCATTCATTCATTCATTTATTCATTTATTCATTTATTCATTTATTCATTTATTCATTTATTTATTCATTCATTTATTCATTCATTCATTTATTCATTTATTTTCTTATTCGTAAATACATTCATTCATAGGATTATCAATTTTATCATTTATCATTGATTGATTGAATGGTTGATTCATCTAATTATTCATTCGTTCGTTCATTCATTCATTTATTTATTTATCCGTCTATCTATCATGTTTTTTATTCATTTTATGGCATCATCATCATCATCACCGCGATCATCTTTTTCATATTTGTGAGAAATTTTGATTGCCCACTTCTGGGAATTTCAAATATTTGTATGTTTGTTTGTATGTATGCGTGGAGGTGTGTGCGTATGTGTGTGTTTGTGCGTGAGTGTATAAATGAATGTACGTGTGTATGTGTGTGTGTGTGTGCATGTATGTTGTTTCTGTATATGAACGTTGTGTGTGTGTTTGTATGAAGGAATGTATGTGTGTGTCCATGTATGTCTATGCATATGAACGTGTGGTGCGTGCGTGTGTGTGTGTGTGCGTGCGTGCGTGTGTGTGTGCGTGCGTGCGTGTGTGTGTCTTCACCATCATTCCCACAATTCTTCACCATCATTCCCACAATCACCATCGTCGTCATCGTCATTGTCATCATGGTAAATGTTTGAACGGATTAATGTATTATAATATTTACGGGTAAACATTAACACAGTTTAACTACATTTTATTATCAATATTAGTCGTCGTCATGGCTTTAAAGGGACATGAAAAAAAGAATTATGTATGTTTGTTTGTATGCTTGTTTGTTTGTTTGTATGTATGTATATTTGTCTGTCTGTGTAAATAAACAAACACACACATACGTCTGTATACACACGCACTCAGACAGATACACAGACAGACAGGCTTACGAAATTATGAATGTATGTATGTATGGGTGGATGAATGAATGAATGAATGAATGAATGAATGAATGAATGAATGAATGAATGAATGAATGAATGAATGAATGAATGAATGAATGAATGCGCGTCGCCTTCATTGTTGTGGTGCGATGAATAATAAGAATAACAAATAATAATAACAATAATAATAACAATAATGAATAATAATAATAATAATAACAATAATAATAATAATTTGCTCTTCACGTTGTTCACAAACAAACAAGGGAGTACTAATTCACAATGGGTCTGCCTACCAAATGATTAAAATTATTATTAATATTATTCAAGGAAATAATAATAATAACAGTGATAATAATAATTATAAATAATCATAACATCATCTTCATCATCGAAACAGTGGTATAATAATGATTGAAAACAGTGCAGTTATTGGTTTTTACTTTTGCATGCATGTGTGTGAGTGTATGTGTGTGTGTACGTATGTGTGTGTGTACGTGTGTGTGTATGTGTACGTGTGCACTTTCATCATCACTATGTAATTATTGATGATAAATAACTAGATTAATTCGGTATAGTTTTGTTTACAATACAATCATTTAATGTTTGTTTGTTTTCTTGTATGTATGTATGAGTGTGTTTGTAGGAATGAGTTATTATGTGCGTACAATTATGGGTATATGTGTATTTATTGCATATGTGTGTGCGTGTGTGTGTATCTTCTTTATTAGCGCACACGTGTCGGCCTACGTTGTGTATGCATCGATCACATGTGTACGAGTGTACACATATTTAAATACATACATATGTATATTGGCTTTCAGTTTTTGCACGTAGATGTCAATCCATACATTCCCATTCCCGCCTGTCATTCCTGATTTCTGAACAGCTATTCCCTAAAAGTCCCTTTCTCAAAATTTATGTTTTACCAATTCCCATGGGAATTCCGCGATTCCCGTTCCAGTGCTCAACCTGATGCAGAGTTACTGACAAAGAGCATATATCACCCAGCATATTACGAATAAGCGCTCACACACGCACAAAAACACATACACACTCAAATACACACAAACATAGCAAGAGAGAGAGAGAGTGAGGGAGAAAGAGAGAGAGAGAGTGGGAGAAAGAGAAAGTGAATTAGGTTCAACATTTAATCTGAAACCAATTAAATTAATGCGTTTATATACGCGTGTGTATGTGTGATTATGTTTATATGTGTGTGAGTATTTCTATGTGTGCATGTACGTATGTGTATGTGTATAAGTATCATTTTATCAAAGACCCAAATTTAAAGATTTTTTTATCTTCTCAATTTCACAATGCCTGCACGTCTGTCGGTCTTGCATGTATGTATGTATGTGTGTATGTATTTATGTATGTATGTGTGTGTGTGTATTGTGTATGTATGCATGTATGTATGTCTGTGTGTGTGTGTGTTCTGTGTTCTGTTAAATCAATTTTCAGACATTTTTTCATCAGTGTTCATTTTATTTATTTATTTCTTAATTTTTGCTTCTCAGAAGCGTTGAATCTGTTTTGCATTTATATTTCTGTAACGTGTTATAATATATTTTTTTTCCACTTACATTTTTAAATATGTGTCTTTGTGTGATAATCTGTCTGTCTCTGTGTGTGTTGTGTTGTGTGTTTGTCCGTGTGTATGTGTGATTGTGTGTCTTGCATTTTTCTCAAGATTTATTCAACTATTTTTTTCATTTTCTTACAGATTTTCGATTTATTTTTAAGATAAATTTAAATGGAAAAACGAAAAATTAATGAATGAAAGAATAAAAAAGAGAAATAAATGAATGAATTTATTGAGAGACTTTCAACCAATGAAGGAGCTGGAAACATCTACTCAAGTACCAATCAGCCAATCATAATTCCTCAGTCAACCATCCAATCAAAAACTGTCATTTAAAAATTTAAAAAATTTCACGATTGTTATTGGCGGGCGCGGTTATCGACATCGTCATCGATACGTCATCTTCATCATCGTCATTATTGTCATCGCTAGCAACATTCTCGTCGTCGTCCTCACCATCATCAATCTATGATCTCAATTTGAACAATTAACTTTGGATAGTTCGATTGTAGCTAGCACTCAAAAGACATATTGACATTAATAATGATAAAAAACGAATAATGGAAATAATAATTAATATTTTTATTAATAAATAATAGTATTGATAATAAAAATAATAATATT